TTTACACAAAATCATGACAGCATTTACACGATATCACCCACTACTAACGTTACTTTATTTACTATCAATTACTTCAATTTATCTTTTGAAAAATTACCGCTATTTATACAGCACAAGACTTAAGAATATTTGACAGGAGCAGGTTTCATTTTTCCCTGGTTTTATTATCACACTGTTCACCAAAACGCAGCAAACCTTCACCATCTTATCCAGGAGGGTCACCTCTTCATGTGAGGACATGGAAGAAGTACCGTAAATGTCGGGCTATAAGCCGCTACTTTTTGCACAAGCTTTGAACCCTGCGGCTTTTAGTCAGGTGCGGCTTTTCTATGGATTGTCCGTGATTTTTGTCATATCGTAAGACGATTTGTTTTGTGTGTTCCGCTGTTGTACGGCACTACGTTGCCTGGCGGAAGGATCGGGGTTCAAGAGTGGTATGTTAGTCACATGTCCGTCCGCCAGGCAACGTAGTGCCGTACGAAGTAGCGCGAAAAACAAACTTCAAAGTAGCGCTACGCGTTCAGCGGGAGTCGTGGATGATGAGCGGCGATAAACTTGCAAGTTATGCCCAACTCCACCGGTGGATTCTGACAGCGTGGAAAAGTGTGAAAACATCCACGATCACCAACGGATTTTGAAGGGCTGGACTGCTGCATGATGGAGAGGACACCGCCACGGCCCTTCTGAGGGTGTTCGACTCTGACACTGACAATGAGGATTTCTTTGGTTTTGAAAGTGACAACGAAGGAGAGAAGAAGAGTGGATGACGAAGCCATCACGAGCCTGTTTGTATCTGACACTGGAGAAGAGGACTTTGGTGGTTTTAGTGCGTAGGAAGAAGAGAAAGATGGTGGTGAATGACTGACTTTTCTTCTTGTTAAAGCTGTGTCACTGCACCTGAGCCTAAAAGGTAGGCCGAATCTATTGTTCTGGTGTGCTGTAGGTTACTGTTATGTACTACATGTGCAAATATGTACCCATAACTTGTTTTTCAAAATATTAATAAAAGTGATGTCTCCAAACAGCCATCTCTTTCCTGACAATTCCCTTTGTGCATATTCTCTTACATATGATAAGTCAACATTGAAACACCTGCGGCTTTTGGTCAGGTGCGGCTAATGTATGTACAAAACAGGATTTTCCCCTGATTTTAGCTTGTGCGGCTAATATTTAGGTGCGCTTTGTAGTCTGGGAAATACGGTAATCTGATTGGCATGGTGGTATGTTTGAAGCAGGTCCCTTGTGTAGCACTGGAACCCAGTCACGATGTCATCCAGGCTGGTTTGCTGCAATAATGCCAAATAATTAGCAAGTCTATAAATAGAAGGTAGTTCTGCAAAATCACTCAGTAGGATGTTTTTTTCTAATTTGCTATGACCTCAGAGTGCATCGAAAATAAAACTAATAGGCTATAAAGAGTGATATGAACATATTCTCTTGCCGGTGTTGTGCCAAAAAGTGATTGTCTGCCAGAAACTGATTGCCGTCTGCGGGAGCGCGCGCAGCTGCTTAAAGCTGCAGCGCCCGGATTACTTGCGTTGCCAGCTACTTCCGTGCAACTGATATAACGGGGGGGGGGGGGCAAACAAACAAACACATTTATGCCTTTGTTATTAGGCAAAGGTATGCATTTAAGGAACTTCAACGTTTCTTGTAACTGAATTATGACGCTTTTCAGAACGTTGCTTTCGGTGTGTAGCGCAGTCACGAATGACTACACGCATCACGATGGAATAATTAATGCCTACAGGTTTAGTATGTCTACTCTCGTTGTTCATATTTGTTATAAGACTGTCGAATAGTAGTTAAAACAATAAAGACCTATTGTGCCAGTATCACCATGACTCTTTCTTGTTTGTTAAGAATAACGACTGAGAGCATGGCATTTTAGCGCTACCAAAAAGTCATTGTGGCCTATAACTCGTCACTGAAACAATATTTCTGCTTCAAACTTGGCGGATGTCATTCAGAAGGGTCATATGTCAAATATTACATCTCAAACAGTCCCTTAGAACTGCTGGATAACCTGTAAAGGAACATTAACATTGATAATATGCCATTTTCAGCCTGCCAAAAAGTGATTGTGGACTATATCTTGTCACTGAAGCAATATTTCTGCTTCAAACTAGGCGGATGTCATTCAGATGGGTCATATGTCAAATATTATATCTCAAACAGTCCCTTAGAACTGCTGAATAACTTGTACAAGAACAATAACACTGATAATATGCCATTTTCAAGCTGCCAAAAAGTGATTGTGGACTATAACTTGTCACTGAAACAATATTTCTGCATCAAACTTGTTGGGTATCATCCAAAAGGGTTATATGTGACACATTATATCTCAAACAGTCTCTAAGGACTGCTGAATAACTTTTAAGGGAACATTAATACCCATAATATGCCATTTTCGACCTGCCAAAAAGTGATTGTGGACTATATCTTGTCACTGAAACAATATTTCTGCATCAAACTTGCTGGGTATCATCCAAAAGGGTTATATGTGACATCTATAGCCCATTGTGTAAGCCAGTTCTTGTCATTTAGTTAATATGACATGTATTTCTTGTCTGTGTGTTTCTTGTTGTCAAGCCTCCCTTGTTGGTTCGTGTCATGTCTGTAATTTGTTATACTTGCTGTTTTACTTTGACAGTCCTGTGCTTCTTTCTTCTTAGTGCTTAATTTTACTCTTCTACTGTGATGTCATAATTTTCATTTCATTAAGCTGTTTCCCTATATGTTTCCAATGTCCATGATCACCTCCTGTCTGTATCTCAGACCTTTTTCTTCCTTTGTTTTGCTGTCAAGTCATCTGTGTATTTTACCTTCACGTCTCATCACAATACTCATTGTAGTCATCATAGATAAGATAACATAAGATAAGATAGGATAAGACTTTATTGATCACACAATGGTGAAATTTTTGTGTTACCTCAGATCAAGTAGGTAGGTATCAGAAGGAAAATACAAAAATAACAATAAATACAAACAAATATAAAATACACTTTATACAACGGTAGCATACAAAGTATGTGCTTATGGATGTGCTTGTGGAAATATCCAAGACATAAACTATATAGCTTAACATATTCTACCATTACTGTTCCTGTGAAGTAATAGATATCTATACGTATAGACATGTACATGAACACACACGTAGACAATAAATATACACATGTATACATACATATATACCTGCACACCTCCATAAACAGAGAAGGTGCATTTTGCATTAATTTTGATCATATGATGACCACAAAGTCCAGTGAATTATGACATCGTCATTGAGGAGTTATAGAGTTTAACTGCTGTTGGGATGAATGATCTGCGAAAGCACTCCTTCCTGCAGCAAGGATGTTTCAGGAAGGAGCTGTGATATATAAATTGGTTTATATTTAGCATAGTTTCATAACAGTTTTCATAATTATTTTCCAACTTTAGTTGTTTCTCCTGTTCCATCTTTGCTTGAGTTTTGTCATGTTTACCTGCCTTAATAAAATCACTTGCTTTTGGTTCTAGTCTCTGCTCTGTCTCTTCCAGTGTCTCCATTTGTGTCCTCTTTCTTGTTCAACACGAGCACTTACTATGATTTTCTAAAAATAAATATGATTCCAATTTTTGGAATAGCAAATCTTACTTCAAATAATGACTGCATTGTTATATATTTTATTCACAGTTTGCAGAGTGCATCTTAGAAGATGTCCCTTCTTAAATTTAAAAACAAAAAAAATTAAAAAAAATTAAAAACCCACCTGACAAAGAATATTGGCAGAAACTAGCAAACCTGCTGTGTGATTTACAAGGAAAATTGCAGTGTTAATAAGTAGAGTTTAAGAACTCTGCTTCAAGTATTGCAAGTCTGAGACAACAGATTGCAATATGTCTTCTTGAGAATACAGGTATCATTACAAATATAAATTAAATAGTAAACTACAAATTGTTTTATTGAACGTGTTTTTAACATTGTTCTTTTATTGCTATAATCTTATTATGTAGTCATGCAAACAGAGTTCATTATTATTAAAATTAAAGTAATTGCTTCTTGTTGTTGAAGATGACCTGACTGACCTATGCCACTATTGTGGGAACCACGATGGTGACACCGATTGGGTAAATGCTTATGTTTTACATGTCCATAGCCCATTCAGTCTAAAAAGATGATAAAAAAAATCATGAAACAAAAATATAATTTTAAAAATGTTACAAACTATGTGAATACATCATCTGAATTATTGTAGTTGTAATGAATGGTGGACTGCTTTATGATCTGCGTATTTTGCAAAATTGTTATTTAAATACTTCTTTGTATACCACTATTAACATAATACTTGTGTTTCCTTGTTTTGTCTAATTTAGATTGGCTGTGACATTTGCTCACGGTGGTACCACAGGGCTGTGCAAAGAAGCCCCGCAAGAGCACAGAAAACAAATTTGTCTGTGAAGCATGCTGGTCAGACAGTTAGGTTCTCTGGCAATTTTTCTAAGGCTTTGAAATGTGTGTTTTGTATCGTTGTCTCCAATAATATTAATTCATTGTTTATTTATTGATTTATTCATTCATTCATTTATGTTTGTGTTGCTGTGTGTGCTTCTGTATTGTTAACAACATTAAAATTCAGCTTTGATTTGAATTAGTTTGTAGGATTATTCAATTATTTCCTGTTTCCTAACATGTTAGCATTATAGTTACTGTGGCAAAAGAATTAATATATATGTTGTTTCTAGGGGTGTGTATTGGCAAGAATCTGGCGATACAATATGTATCATAATACAGGGTAGACGATACGATATATTGAAATACTGAAAGCCAGACAGATATTTGTGTTTAGTAGGACTCAATTTAATTAGGAAAACTCACAGTAAACAGTCCAAACTGTTTAATGCTTGACATGAAACATCTGAAACAAAAACACTCTCTAAGTTCAAAATGAATGGAGAAATTAACATCTGCCTTATTAGAAGTCATGTCAAATAAACAAAAACTACTTTACTGAAATATCAAGTATTTAACATGAAAAAAGTAAACATGTAACACTGAAGTCTTTCTAAGTACTATGATTGTAAAATACTTATCCAAAAACTGCTCTATGGAGCATCAAAACAAAGTACTTTTTATGTGTCCTTAACATAAACAAATATAAATCAAAAATGAAATTGCTTGAAGAATCCATCCAAGTAAACATTAACAAAAAATGTAAAGTGCTATTACAATTAAGTGTTAATAAAATAAAGTACAGCTCTGCAGTGTCCATCAATGGAACACTTTTAGTACAACCTGAAAAAAGGAATTTACTCATCTAAATAAAAGTGCTTATGAGACTCAACCAAAATGTCAAACATTCTCATATCAGAGATTTTACATGTGTAGTGTTTTCTCAGTGTTTATTTTTCAATTTCCAGATTTTTGTGCAGGAATACAAGCTGATCGACATGGTCAGCTCTCAGGACACTTCTCTGTGCATTTACTATGTCTCCTGCAGAGGAGAAAACTCTCTCTGCAGAGACACTTGTTCCAGGAATGCATAGGAAACTCCTTGCTACTTTGGATAGCTGAGGGTATTCCTGTTCATGGTCCTTCCACCAACTGAGAGGATTTCCTGTGAGAGGCAAAGGGGTCTCATCTCTATACCTCTTGATCTCAGCTGCAGCAACATCATGTTCTGATTTTGGTGCAGTATTGTCACTAGTAGAGGCAAACGTAGCTCCGAGCAAGTCCACCAATGCACATGAGGTCCTCTGTCTCTTTAGGGGTGGCCGAGGGATGGAGTCAAAGTTGTCTTTGATATGTGGGTGATGAGCCTCCTCTGTGGCATTCTCTTCCTCCACCTGTTTGTCAGTCTCCTCATTCTTTTGCTGCTGAAAAACATTAAATTCAAATAGTATTAATGTCAGAAAGTCAAAATTCAAATCCAAGATTCACCCTGTTTTTCACTAATATTTGATGACAAATGTCATCAATATGCATTTTTTTTTGCTTTTTACTTTATTCACTTGCTTATAACTTCAGTTGAATTTTTCCAAATAAATTAATTTATTTACTTACATTTTCTTCCTTCTTTATCACAGTCACCACAGTGTCCAACAGTCTGGAATAGGTCTCACTGGTCTCTGCTTCAGACAGGAAGGGCAGGTCCTTAAACCGAGGATCAACAGTTGATGCCATCCATAGTGTCTCCCTCTCATTTACATATCTCTTTCCCAGATCTTCTGCTATGGCAGTCTTAATGTCCCTTACTGTCGGTGTATCATCAACACTTTCTTGTGCACCCATCACAAGCTTGGCATGAAGAGGAGCAATGATGGACAGGGTTGGCATACTCTCCTCTGACATCACCAGGGTGGCGTCCTTCATAGGCTTGAGTGCCCTGACAACTTCTTCTTCACATGTGATGTCAGACTCACTTAATGTGAAAATTTCTTTTTCACTCTTCCTAACTTCTGCAGAAAGCAGAGCTGCACAGATGGCTGGTTGCTGTTCTAAAAATCGTTCTATCATATCATAGGAGCTGTTCCATCTCGTAATTATGTCCGTGATCAATCTGTGAGCTGGTAGCTGAAGGAGGCGCTGTTTCTGCTTCAACTGGTTGCTGGCTGTGGTGCTGCGCCTGAAAAAGGCTGTTACACGTCGGATCCTCCCGAGAAGTCGCACCACGGATTGTATTTTCAGTGCTTTCTGTGAGGCGAGATTCAGACTGTGTGCAAAACATTGTATGTGCGTTATGCCTGCAAGTCTAGCCGCGAGAGCCATGTTTGGTGCATTATCGGTAACAACAACAAGGTCCTTTGCGTTCAATCCCCATTCAGCCACAGCGTCAGTTAGTAACGCTGCAATGTGCTCACCTGTGTGGCTGTCATGCATGGCTCGGGTTTGTAGTACATGAGACTGAAGGTTCCACTGGTCCGTTATGTGATGTGCTGTAACAGTTACGTACGATTCAGTGGCTCTCGAAGTCCAAGCGTCGCATGTCAGAGCAACTGTCTCAGCCGAGCTGAGAGAGTCCAGCACTGTCGCTTTGACTTCTTGGTACAGCTTTGGCAGAGCGATGTCCGTGATGTGTTGTCGAGAAGGAACGGTGTAACGGGGCTCCAGCGTTTTAATCATATTACGAAATCCTTTATTCTCCACAACACTCAGAGGGCGCATGTCTTTGCAAATAAAAACAAGTACTGACTGCGTTATTTTTGTTGCACGAGTTGAAGTTGCTGGTAGTTTCGAAAAGTTAACTTCTTCAATTGTCCGTTGAGAGGGATCGCCTCGTTTCGTTTTAAAATTAGCATTTGACGCTACGTCGCTATGGTGTCTAGACACGTGTGTTCGTAAATTTGTTGTGTTACCGGAATATTTGACTCTGGCGGTGCAGATTTTACAGACTGCATAGCTCTTGTCATAGTCTTTACTTCCTTCTTTTGTCCTAAATCCAAAATGAGTCCACACATCAGCTTTGAAAGCTGCGGGGGACGGCTGTATCCTCTCCTCTTCAGTCATCAGTTAGCTAGCATCACACATGTCCACTGACTGTTCTACTTCGTTCTTTTGGGAAACTAGACGCTTCTACAGTTATCGCGAGACCTCGTTTTTACGTCATAGTAAAGGCGGTGAAAACTGCAAACCAGTGGCCGGAGTTTGAATTCCAACATACAAAAGAAATAAACAGTAAATGCATGTCATTTTTCAATTAAAAAAATCGATAACACTGATTTTAAATATCGATTCAGTATCATTGCGTGAAATATCGCGATATTTCGTTGTATCGATATTTTCTTACATCCCTAGTTGTTTCATGGTTTACTGGTGTTCAGCTTCCACTATACCCCCTGTTTCTGGTATATTTGTTAGTTTATTTAAATTGGTGGTTTCTTCTTTAGTTGGATGTTATTGTTATTGTTTTTTGTTTTTTTGTTTAAATTAATAAGTGCTGTATTGGAATGACATTTTTTTACCTTTTGTTTTCTCTTTCCTATTACTTATTGTTCCTAATTTATTTATGTAGATCTCCTCCCAGCTGTTTCCATTTGGTGTTATATTTGGTTTTATATTTGAAATTTGACATTTTATGCGCTGTCCAATAAAGGCTTTATTTAAATCTTCAGCAGAATGTGTCACATATTATCCTTCTGAATGACATCAGTCAAGTTTGAAGTAGAAATATTGTTTCAGTGACAAGTTATGGTCCACAATCACTTTTTGGCAGGCTGAAAATGGCATATTATGGGTATTATTGTCCCTTTAAAAGTTATTCAGCAGTTCTAAGGGACTGGTGGAGATATAATATTTGACATATGACCCATCTGAATGACTTCCAGCAAGTCTGAAGCAGAAATATTGTTTCAGTGACAAGATATAGGTAGCAATCACCTTTTGGCAGGTTGGAAATTGCATATGATCAGTTCTATTGTTCCCTTAAAGGTTATTAAGGATTTCCTAGAGACTGTTTGGGATATGATGTGCCACATATGATCCTTTTGGATGATACCCAACAAGTTTGATGCAGAAATACTGTTTCAGTGACAAGATATAGGCTACAATCACTTTTGGCAGGCTGAAAATGGCATATTATCGGTATTAATGTTCTCTCTCTTACCCTTTACCCGCCCCTGTTGCTTGTCTTGTGTTTCTATGGTGTATTGATAGTCATGTGCTTTTGTGCTGAGGTGTTTTTTCTGTTATCAAACTGTTCTCTCACTAGGAGCTCAGTCTGAGTGGAGTTTTTTTTCTCCTCCTCTTACCTCATGTAGTGTATTTTTGTTGTTTTTTCCTATCAGCCTACCTTTCTGACATGTCTGCCCAATGTGATGTTTGTGTAAAGTTGGTCAGAAGGTTCCTTTGTAAGTGCGCACGCGCCATTAGCGTGCTGCCTGCTGTAACCCTAATTTCCCTCGGGATGAATAAAGTATTCTGATTCTGATTCTTTTAAAAGTTATTCAGCAGTTCTTGGAGAGTGTTTGGGATATAATATGTCACATGGATGACATCCACCAATTTTGAAGCGGAAACATTGTTTCAGTCACAAGTTATGGGCGGCAATCAGTTTTTGGCAGGTCGAAAATGTCATATGGGTATTAATGTTCCTGTAAAAGTTATTCAGCAGTCCTTAGAGACTGTTTGAGATATAATGTGTCACATATAACCCTTCTGAATGACATCTACCAAGTTTGAAGCAGAAATATTGTTTCAGTGACAAGATATAGTCCACAATCACTTTTTGGCAGGCTGAAAATGGCATATTATCAATGTTAATGTTCCTTTAAAAGTTATTCAGCAGTTCTTAGAGAGTGTTTGGGATATAATATGTCACATGTAACCCTTCTGGATGATATCCAACAATTTTGAAGCAGAAACATTGTTTCAGTGACAAGATATAGGTGGCAATCACTTTTTGGCAGGCTGAAAATGGCATATTATGGGTATTAATGATCCTTTAAAGGTTATTCAGCATTTCTTAGAGACTGTTTGGGATATGATGTGCCACATATCATCCTTTTGGATGATACCCAACAAGTTTGAAGCAGAAATATTGTTTCAGTGACAAGATATAGGCCACAATCACTTTTTGGCAGGTTGAAAATTGCATATTGTCAGTTTTATTGTTCCCTTAATGGTAATTTAGCAGTTCTGAGGGACTGTTTGAGATGTAATATTTGACATATGACCCATCTGGATGACATCCAACAACTTTGAAGCAGAAATAGTATCTCAGTGACAAGTTATAGGCGGCAATCACTTTTTGGCAGGTCGAAAATGGCATATTATGGGTATTAATGGTCCTTTAATAGTTATTCAACAGTCCTTAGAGACTGTTTGAGATAGTCTCTAAGGACTCCAAAGCCCTATTATTAATGTGTCACATGTAACCCTTTTGGATGATACCCAACAAGTTTGATGCAGAAATATTGTTTCAGTGACAAGATATAGACGGCAATCACTTTTTGGCAGGTTGGAAATTGCATATTATCAGTTTTATCGTTCCCTTAATGGTTATTCAGCAGTTCTAAGGGACTGTTTGAGATATAATATGTCACATAGGACCCTTCAGAAAGACATGCAGCAAGTTTGAAGCAGAAATAGTATTTCATTAACAAGATATAGGCCACAATCACTTTTTGGCAGGTTGAAAATGAGATATTATCGGTATTAATGTTATTTTAAAAGTTTTTCAGCTGTTCTTGGAGAGTGTTTGAGATATAATATGTCACATAGGACCCATCTGAATGACATCCACCAAGTTTGAAGCAGAAACATTGCTTCAGTGACAAGATATAGGCCACAATCACTTTTTGGCAGGCTGAAAATGGCATATTATCAATGTTAATGTTCCTTTACAGGTTATCCAGCAGTTCTAAGGGACTGTTTGAGATGTAATATTTGACATATGACCCTTCTGAATGACATCCGCCAAGTTTGAAGCAGAAATATCAGTGACGAGTTATAGGCCACAATGACTTTTTGGTAGCGCTAAAATGCCATGTTCTCAGTCGTTATTCTGAACAAACAAGAAAGAGTCATGGTGATACTGGCACAATAGGTCTTTATTGTTTTAACTACTATTCGACAGTCTTATAACAAATATGAACAACGAGAGTAGACATACTAAACCTGTAGGCATTAATTATTCCATCGTGATGCGTGTAGTCATTCGTGACTGCGCTACACACCGAAAGCAACGTTCTGAAAAGCGTCATAATTCAGTTACAAGAAACGTTGAAGTTCCATAAATGCATACCTTTGCCTAATAACAAAGGCATAAATGTGTTTGTTTGCGCCCTCCGCCCTTGATATATGTGTGAAAGGGAAGTAGCTGGCAACGCAAGTAATCCGGGCGCTGCAGCTTTAAGCAGCTGCGCGCGCTCCCGCGGACGGCAATCAGTTTCTGGCAGACAATCACTTTTTGGCACAACACCCGGTCGTGCGATCGAACATTGCAGCGGACCACACAGCAAGAACAAACCATGGCTATGCTTTCGCTCCTTTTTCACTTAGACCCCCAAAATGTCGGATCGGGCCAAAATCCTTTCCACGCCCACCCCCGTGACATCACGCTCCAAAGCCCTATTAGGCTAATCGTTGTGTCACTTCCGGTATTTCAGACAATCCCTTTCCGTCAAGGATTTTTAATTTGTTGTGGGCTTTTTGTATTTTGTTGTGGGCTTTTTGTATTTTGTTGTGGGCTTTTTGTAATTTGTTGTGGGGTTTTTGTATTTTGTTGTGGGGTTTTTGTAATTTGTTGTGGGCTTTTTGTATTTTGTTGTGGGGTTTTTGTAATTTGTTGCGGTTTTTTAATTTGTTGCGATTTGCACTTCCCAGCCACCGTACCTTACAGAAACCTGGTTTACAACATGATGATTATGTTAGTATGACTGTTGATTCATTTAAACTAATCGTCAGAATCAGAATTATTTGACTATGTTCTGATCTCAGTCATCTCAGCCGATGGCTGCCGCTCTCTGAGCCTGGTTCTGCCAGAGGTTTCTTCCCCTTAAAATGGCATATTTCCTTCCTACTGTCACCAAAGGATTCTACAATTGGTGTAATTTTCTCTGTAATATTGTATGTTTTTTTCCTTTTATAGATTCTGGCATCCTCAGGTGAAAGTAGGCTGGTCTTGTTTTTGGATTTTGCCTGCTGGTTGGAACCCGTGTTGGCTGGACCATTTATACTACCCTTATCTGTATATAGTGTATATAGTGTATATATATATATGAGTAGTGCGGTGCTCTGAACGGATAATTGGAGGTGAGCTTCCCTCCCTCCAAGACATCTACAGGAAGCGCTGCCTGAGGAAAGCGGGGAGGATCATCAAGGACTCCAGTCACCCCAGCCATAAACTGTTCAGACTGCTTCCATCAGGAAGGAGGTTCTGCAGCATCCGGTCCCGTACCAGCAGACTGAGAGACAGCTTTTTCCATCAGGCCATCAGACTGCTGAACACGTCATAGACACCTCAGCTTCACTACTGGAACTTCAACATTATGCACTCCACACTGTATATAAATGCCACTTGTTTTGCACATATTCAACTCTGTATATTTTATATATTTTTATTATTATTATTATTATTATTATTATTTTTTTTATTTTTTTTTTTTTTACTATTTAATTTGTAAAAATGTGTATACACACACACACACACACACACACACACACACACACACACACACGTAGGAAAATATTTAGTATACACATCCAGAAATGCATACACTATTATATATTGTACATATATTTATTAGTTTCAGGTTGGCCATTCTTGTATTTTGCTCGTTTGTGTTGTTGTGTTTGCACATCTCTGTTGCTTGTGGGGCTCGCACACAAGAATTTCACTCGCATGTGCTGTGCCAGTGTGCCTGCACATGTGATGTGACAATAAAAGTGATTTGATTTGATTTGATATCAGTATATCCATACATTTGCCCATAGTACATCTGTATATTTGCTCTCTACGTTTAATAATAATAATAATAATGGATTGGATTTATATAGCGCTTTTCAAGGCACCCAAAGCGCTTTACAATGCCACTATTCATTCACTCTCGCATTCACACACTGGTGGAGGCAAGCTACAATTATATACAGATACGTAACGTATCTGTATATAATTGCTCTTATTGCACTTACAATTTGCATCTAATCAGAAGTGCAAGAGTAGTATTTTGTTACCCTCTATGCGTAATGACAATAAAGTTGAATCCTAATCCTAATCCTTTTGCTGATTTTTACATTATTGACCTCTTGATCAGGTTGTTGTTGTATGTAGTGAGCTATCTGTATCACTGTTTGGAGACTATCTGTTTTGGTTGGTACTCACCTGTGATTCTTGGCTTCTTCCTTCAATGAAAGAATATGCACTGACCTTCTGAGACACATCTGTCCATCCTCCACTATCACCTGGGCCATCAACTCAGTTTTATCCAAATTTTATCCAAGAGGGCTACCCAGCAGCCACAACCGGTTAGGGGTTTTACAGGTCTTTGTTTTTATTTCCTGTAGTTTAAATAATTATTGTGTGTCATCTGACCTAACAGATAGACAAGACCGGGTATCATCTGCATCACAATGAAAATGTTTTGTATCCTTTCTAACGATGACACCTAAGCGAAGTAATGCCATCATGGCAAACCTGACAGTCATATTTCTGAGAGATGAACAATGACTGCAGTTTTTTTTTAGTTGAACAAGTCTCTAATGAGTCTCTAATGAAATCCAGTTGCATTATTCAAATGCTGTTTCCTATGCTAACCCTTGCTACAGGAAAACTGACTATGTGCACAAAAGAGTTAACATGGTCAATGCCACCAACGCGTTTCTGTCTGATTCCTGAATTAGTGCAAATTGTGAAACATTTATCCTTAATTTTACATGAAACAAGGTTATATTAAAAAGTAATTTTGATTTCTATAATGAACATGCAGTTTTTCTTCACTAAGACTTGAACTGGCAGATGTCAAGCAGTTTGCAGCTCCATACCGAGACAGTCTCCTCAATGGAGACCACAGATAATACACAAACACATCATTCAACTACAGAAAAGGAAGGAAAAAAACACAGTTTGATGCATAACTTTCAACATTCCTTTAAATTGTGTACCTCCAATCACTTTCAAACACTTTTCTCCTGATCTGACTTGAGTAGCTTGTGGTCAGAGGGAAGTTCTGTGTCATAATTACTGATGATATAGCTTTGTTGCTCTATAGTAGTTGGGAGAGCCTCCAGCCCCACGAGCCTGACTTGAATAAGCGCAAGAGGATGGATACCTTTGTTTTTACTGTTGCATGTTCACTAGAAGCCACTGGCTGAAAGAGTGTATTTTAAACACAAGCTGTCAGAAAAGGGCTGTGAAAGGGCATGCACACATCAGATTTAGGGTTAATAACCTTGGCATACATGAACACAAACCATTTAATAGGTAACTGTGACTGTTTATTATTGATTTAAAAAAAAATCAACCAATCAAGCATGAATAACATAAATATAAACATACACTGCACATTATGCATGACATATTATCAATACATTTCTTTCACTAGAGCACTTTCACTGAATTCATTGACATATTAATGATATGTCAATGAATTCAGAACATTAAAATTGCCCTTTGCAACCAAAGGTTATTTAAGCCCATCACAAGGGTGTCCAACAGAATGGACAATACTGAGCTTAGGAAAGATGGTTGCTATACAAAAGAACCACTGCAAAAGCAAACCATCGAGTTAAGGGGGAATGCCACTAAATGGCATATCAGAATGTGGAATATCATTGTTGTGGTTCCAGATATGTGTAAACTCCCTGTCTCCATTAATACATGAACTAGGCTGGGGTAGAGCCACATTCACATTTTTGCATGTTAATCTGGTAGCTATGTGAGTCTCTTGAACTTTATCATGGAGAAGCCTGTTAAAAACCTTGGCTTGTTCCAAAATATGAACTAAATACTCAAGTAAAAAAAGGCCTTCATGCTGGGGATCACACTCACACTATAAATACAACTGGACCATTTAAAGACTAACACACAAAGCCAGTGAGCTGTGTTAGTAGATTTGTGAATATCATTTTCTTGTATTTACGGTATAACAAAGTTTTGACTGAACCATTTTATTTCCATTTGAAAAGGGAGGAGCCTCAATCAGAGTGGGCTCTGTGAAAAATAAACAAACAATGAAACACTATCACTTATCAACTCTGATTATTTTGATAGTCTAACAGTGAATGACCATAAAATTGGAATGTGGAAGTGAAAACAGGAAAATAGGACCTAGTTTAATCTAGGCAGCATGCTGTCTGCGAATGCTATGCAAGCAAAGATTAAACGTATAAATACGACAGTATTTAATCTAAGGACAGTTCAACTTTTTGCCCTCGGTTGTTTGTTTTTGTACTAAGGAGTCTTGATTTACTGACTTAAAAACTCCGAACAAAGGATAAATTGTTCATATGATAAGACACGATGTCAACAAATCCGCAGGTTTGACAAATGCATGAAAGCAATTACAGAAAAATATCAAAATAGGTCTTAAAGAACAGAAATCACCTAGATAAACGATTTACAACGTGTCACATCACCTGAGAGCTTGTTTTCTTCAAAGAAATTGTTCAGGAAATCTCAAAAATTACTTTGGAAAGTAAAATTTTATCACAGTCTCAAATTATGAGGTGAAATTATCATGGAATTTCAGATATTTGACATATTAAAGACACAAATATTAACACCCAACTCCTACAGTGGATTCTGTGAATATGTGGAATTGTTAGGTTCAACTAGTCCCCCTGAAGGGAAAGGTCACTGCAGACCATACAATTTCGATTTTATGGTCTGCATACTCTGTATAAAAGCTGTCTTCAGCTGCTCCCTTATCACAAAGGGATCACCACGTTAGGAAGCACAAGATGTTTGATTTGAGTTTTACACCAGATATCTTTTAATATGCAACCCCATGTGTTTGGCTAAAATTGTAACTTTTGAAAAACAGAATGGGCAGCAGATCATCCAGTTTGGATTTAGGAGACAGGCACTGCACTTTCAAGATTAGGCTTTAAACTTTTCTTTGTGATAAAGAAACCCTGAAACACCGCTTAGTTAGCCTCAGGGCGCCGAGGGGCATCCCATGATAAGTTTCTTTATTATGACACTATTGTGTCTTTTCTTGGTTTAGGCTTTAACCTGTGGTTGTTTTGGTTGATTAACACTGAAGTTGTTGTAGCAGTTTGTGAAGCACCATGTGCTTCACAAACTGCTACAAGTTTTTATGCTTTTTTTCCTGTAGCAGATGCCATATTGTGAGGTAAGGGTTTTTAACATTACAATGACCGTGCATATAATTGGTCTTGCGTTTTGAAACCTGTGCAGTATTTTGTTCTTCTCCATTGTGTTCACGTGCAAGCTATCAAGTCACACTCTCTCAAAATCAGGCTGAGAGTGCTTCCTCCATCATGTGAACATTTTCAGTGTGAGACAGTGGGAGACAGGTGGCTGTGGATCGTCTCATCTCTTAAGATCTAACAGATATGTATGTTTTATGGAACTGCACCCATTCCTGTCATTTCTTTAAACTTGGCTTTAGACACAGACAAATCAAACATCCACAAACATTAAACACAGCATCACTTAAAGAAAAAAACTAGGCCTGAGGGAATGAAAAAAGGTAAAGGTCACTTATGGAGAACAAATACATTCCTAGGCTTGCTGCCCAAAAATGAAAAACATAATAATAAACATCCCCCGGTGTAGGAACAGAAGCGAGGACCATAATTAGCTCCTCGCTAATTATGCTCCTCGCATAATTAGGAGCATAATTTGACAATTACTATGTCAAAATCTGGGCAAAAAATGGAGTATTCTGAAAAATACATACGGGAAGAGGAGGAGGAAGTAAAACAGAAGGCACTAAATAGAGGAGAGGGTGGAAAGCAGCTAGAGAAGAAACATCTTGGAGAAAGGCTCACCCCACTGGTTATGAAAACTGACCCTCTGACAACGTGCAGCTGAAACTGTTTTGCTATTATAAGAATCTTTCAGATCTGAGTAATGTGATACGACAGTAGCAGCAGTAGCATGATCTGGTCTACGCACCCAGACACACAGAAGAATTAAATCCAGAGGCCAGCACTGGCAAAGTTCACTGTAAACATAACAAGCCTCTTCTTTTTTCACAGGTTTAATCATTCACATCCATATCTTTCCCTTTTTTGATTCTCTGTGCTCTGCAGTGATTTGGTTTTAGCCACTTTGTTATGCGTGTCATCTCTGTTTGGCATCAAAAAACTAAGTCTCCCTTGAAATATTTCTGTTTCTTTCCCTCACTATTTTCCCCTAAATTTCTGAGAACAAAGAGAATAAAGAAGCCCTTTTTAGAGGCACGGCTTCATCGCTGTGCTCCACTTTCACACTCTGTTAGGACTAGAGGTTGAGTCTGGGGGCCACTAAGGCAAATTCTCGCAGGATGTTTCGGGCCACATCCACTTTGTACTGAGCAATCATCAGTGCTCGCTTCACATCGTCAAAAGCGAAACCCTCGCCCATCAGTTTAGCTATCTTTGCATCTTCACTCTCCAGCTCCAGGCTGTGTGGTTTTTCTGGTTGTATTTCTGGAGGAATCTTCCTCGGATATGGCTTGGGTGGCCTCGCTGGTGCCTGCAAACAGTCCAGTGATACTTGGAGGAAGAGGAGAGAAATGATGTCAGTGGAAAACTTGGGAAGGAGAAAACTAAACACTGCTTATCAGCGTACTGATCTTTTTCCTGCACCTTCAGATTTCAGACATTTTTCATGAAGTCATGAGATTCTAATCATGTAGAAATCGCCTAGATGTTCCACTGCCTTTCTACTTAGGGCTGCTTAATTAATCGAATTTTAATCTAAATTACGATCTGGGCTTTCAACGATCATTAAAAATTATTGAGCCGATTATTAGCACCTCCCTCGTGCTTTACTCTCGCATTGCTCCGTGTGGCAAATTGAGCGCACCTCTCTGCATTTCAAACACGCGTCACAACAAGTAAGAGGACCCGAGGGAAGCTCGGAAAGCTAAGCAGAAGTTATTTGGAGAGGAGAGTGACTGCCGTTGGTTGAAAAGAGAGGTAAAAAAAAATCTTCAGTGGTGTGGAAACATTATGGGTTCGTGGAGTCAGACGTGGATCAAGTAGACATAGTGTGTAAACTTTGCTACGGTGTCGTAGCTGCACCACAGAGCAACACTGCAAAGTTCACTAAACATAGATGTTTACATTTTTCATTTATTTTTTATATTGCAAACATTTGCACTGTTATCAGTATTTGCACACTATTTTATATTATTTTTTGACAATCTTTTAAGCCATTATTCAATACATTGTTATTGTTAAATAAATATTGTCAAATAATCGAGATCTAAATTTCAGTGAAAATAATCGTGATTATCATTTTTGCCATAATCGAGCAGCCCTATTTCTACTCCTCTGACTGAAAGGAATCAAGCCTATTTGTACAAAAGTCGTCTTGCTGTCTTCATTGAAAAGTTGCTAGGGACATAAAGAAGAATCCATGTTGATGAGATTTCTCGAGTCAACACATGAAAAACACCTTTTCTTCTTTGAACCTTTTAACCAAAAATTTCTCCTTTGGTTAACCAAAGGAGAAATTTTTGGTTCTGCACAATTTCAAAGGCATCTAGATCTAAAAAAAATGATCTTCCACTCCCAACATGAAAAGTTTGAAACCTATAAAACATGCAGTCATTTATACACTGACCGAGCACTATATTAAGATCCCCTGTTGCTTAGTCATGGAGTTTACCATCAACTGCACGAATCCACGGATCCAGCTTGCCCAGCACAGGGTTCTGCCTCTGTGACTTTATCTACAATTTAACAACTTTAATACTACTTACATATGTTTTCAGTATTACTAATTGCCCATGAGCTCAGTGAACACTCACTAAAGAGACAGGATGGTCTCTTTAGTGAGAGGTTGTACCTGGATGGTTGTACTCCAGGATGCCTCTGGAGCTTTTCACATTGTCCGTTTGCCTTTTGGCTGGATGCGAGGGAGCAGCACTGTTCACCATTCCAAAAACTGAGTCTGGACAACAGAGAAAGTCAGGCACACAAGCCAACACGAGCAAAGCAATGTTGTAAATAATAAGTTTAACACTTATTACACTGAGAAATATAATGCCCTAAAACGATTTATTTAGCTTGTTTTTAAAAGAAAAACTTTACCTGGAGTTAACAGGACATGCTCGTGTCCAGAGGGGGGCATGTGTAGTTGAGTGATAACAGAGTTGGATGACATGGAAGAGTTACAGGATGAGGGTGATGAGGGCGGCTCAGTAAAGCTGTGTCTCACAGGTGGAGGAGGAGGCTGGGATGGAGGGCAGCTGTTTAAGGTGTCTTCAAATACTGTAAGGGAACACAAGCCAGATGCTAGAGTTCTGTTTTGGGGTTTTTTGCTTGGTCCTGATTGACAGTATCTACTTATTCTATGAGGAGGTAGCTGACTAAGAATTCTAAACTATGTGCAGTCCTACAGATTACATACTAAAGGCATGCTTGGAGGACTGGGAAAGAAAGTACAAAAAGGCTGAAATCGGCATGAATGTGTGACTCTTCTACACCCTGAGGTGGTGCTAAGACATCAAATATACAAAAATGATTATAATCAGTCAGATATATCTGAGTATTCAAATGAGGACCATATGTTGGAGTTCTGGAATGACATCATCACAGTTAAAGTAAAATGCCTGAACATGAAATTTCAGAGTTTATTACAGAGAAATGGCTCTTTCCAAAATAAAAGCTATACTATACGCTTCTTCTGGGCTATATTCTCAGCAGCATATTAAACATATCAGGTAATAAACTCTCTTTTCCAAAGATGAGTGATTTCTCCATCAGATAGATTTATTTTTTTATTACTTTGTTGTTTCAGCAACATTACATTTAAAAACTGTACTTTTGAGTTAAAATATATATTTATAATTTTAATAAATGACAAATTAAAAAAGCATGAACGCCTGTGGAGACGGCTTATGGTTGAGAAATGAACATTCAATGCACGGGCGACAGATCTGGTTGACATTCCTGCTGTCAGCATGCCAATTGCACGCTCCCTCATTGCTTGTGGCATCTGTGGCATTTTGCTGTGAGACAAAACTGCACATTCCAGGGTGGCCTTTTGTTGTGGGCAGTCTGAGGTACACCTGTGCACTACTCATGATGTCAGATCAGCATCCTGATGTGGCACACCTGTGAGGTGGGATGGATTATCTCAATATAGCAGATGTGCCCACTACCACACATTTGGACTGATTTGTGACCACTGTTTGGGAGGGATGGTGATATTGTGTATCTGGAATGAATTTTAGGTCTCTACGTCCATCCCATGGGGAATGGGAGCAGTAACAAAAGTGTTGCGTTTATATTTTTGTTGAGTGTATAAATATATATATATATATATATATATATATATATATATATATATATATATATGTATATATATATATATATATATATATATAGATAGATAGATAGATAGATAGATAGATAGATAGATAGATGGATATAGATATAGATATATATACATGTATGTATAACAGCAGGGTGCAAGATACTAGCAGCCAAGGCATACATGGAACGGCATAACCAGGTGACCAGCATAGTGTACAAGAACATCTGTGCTGAGTATAACCTGGACGTCCCAAGGTCAAAATGGAAGAGGCCCCCAAGAATGTCCGAGCTAAGATCCTGTGGGACTTCCAAATACAGACAGACAAAATGGTGGTGGCTAACCAACCGGACATAGTGGTGGTAAACAGAAGAAGACGGCCATAGTGATCGATGTAGCGGTCCCGAATGACAGCAACATCAGGAAGAAGGAACACAAGAAGCTTGAGAAATACCAAGGGCTCTGAGAAGAGCTCGGGAAGATGTGGAGGGTGAAGGTGACGGTGGTCCCAGTGGTAATCGGAGCACTAGGTGCAGTGACTCCCAAGCTAGGCGAGTGGCTCCAGCAGATCCCGGGAACATACATAACATTGGAGATCTCTGTCCAGAAGAGCGCAGTCCTAGGAGCAGCTTAGATACTGCGCAGGACCCTCAAGCTTCCAGGCCTCTGGTAGAGGACCTGATCTTGAAGGACAGCTCACCCGCAGGGGCGAGTGGAAATGTACAGTGGGGCAAAAAAGTATTTAGTCAGCCACCGATTGTGCAAGTTCCCCCACCTAAAATGATGACAGAGGTCAGTAATTTGCACCAGAGGTACACTTCAACTGTGAGAGACAGAATGTGAAAAAAAAAATCCATGAATCCACATGGTAGGATTTGTAAAGAATTTATTCGTAAATCAGGGTGGAAAATAAGTATTTGGTCAATAACAAAAATACAACTCAATAATCAGAATCAGAATCAGAATCAGAATCAGAATACTTTATTGATCCCTGGGGGAAATTATTTTTTGTTACAGTGCTCCATTTTAAACCAACATTAAGACAAGACAGACAATACGCTAACTAAGAATAGTACAATATATACATATATATACATACATACATACATAAGTCACTTATAAATAAATATTTGGAAAAGAAACATGTGTAGTTGTAGCAGCAAACAGTGTGTTAAGTGGATGCGTTGTACAGGGAGATGGCCACAGGCAGGAATGATTTCCTGTGTCGTTCAGTGGTGCTTTTCGGTAATCTCAGTCTCTCACTGAACGAGCTCCTGTGACTGACCAACATGTCATGGAGTGGGTGGGAGGTGTTATCCAACATTGTCTTTATCTTGGACAGCATCCGCCTCTCCGACACCACCTTGAGGGAGTCCAGCTCCATCCCCACAACATTGCTGGCCTTACGGATCAGTTTATTAAGTCTGTTGGCATCTGCGACCCTCAGCCTGCTCCCCCAGCATGCAACAGCATAGAGGATCGCACTGGCCACCACAGACTCATAGAAAATCCTCAGCATTTTCTGGCAGATGTTGAAGGACCTCAGTCGCCTCAAAAAATAGAGACGACTCTGGCCCTTCCTGTAAAGTGCTGTGGTGTTTTTAGCCCAGTCCAGTTTATTGTCAATGTGTACTCCAAGGTATTTATAGTCCTCCACAATGTCAACACTGACCCCCTGGATTGAAACAGGGGTCAAGTGTTTCCTGGTCTTCCTGAAGTCCACGATCAGTTCCTTGGTCTTTGCCACGTTGAGCTGCAGATGATTCTGCTCACACCACGTGACAAAGGAGTTGACCACAGCCCGGTACTCTGTCTCATCATCCCTGCTGATGCATCCAACCACCGCAGAGTCATCAGAAAACTTCTGAAGATGGCATGTCTCTGTGCAGTGGCTGAATACTTTGTAACATAACCTTTGTTGGCAATAACAGAGGTCAAACGTTTACTATAGGTCTTTACCAGGTTTGCACACACAGTAGCTGGTATTTTGGCCCATTCCTCCATGCAGATCTTCTCGAGAGCAGTGATGTTTTGGGGCTGTCGCCGAGCAACATGGACTTTCAACTCCCGCCACAGATTTTCTATGGGGTTGAGGTCTGGAGACTGGCTAGGCCACTCCAGGACTTTCAAATGCTTCTTACGGAGCCACTCCTTTGTTGCCCAGGCGGTGTGTTTTGGATCATTGTCATGTTGGAAGACCCAGCCTCGTTTCATCTTCAAAGTTCTCACTGATGGAAGGAGGTTTTGGCTCAAAATCTCACGATACATGGCCCCATTCATTCTGTCCTTAACACGGATCAGTCGTCCTGTCCCCTTGGCAGAAAAACAGCCCCATAGCATGATGTTTCCACCCCCATGCTTCACAGTAGGTATGTTGTTCTTGGGATGCAACTCAGTATTCTTCTTCCTCCAAACACGACGAGTTGAGTTTATACCAAAAAGTTCTACTTTGGTTTCATCTGACCACATGACATTCTCCCAATCCTCTGCTGTATCATCCATGTGCTCTCTGGCAAACTTCAGACGGGCCTGGACATGCACTGGCTTCAGCAGCGGAACACGTCTGGCACTGCGGGATTTGATTCCCTGCCGTTGTAGTGTGTTACTGATGGTGACCTTTGTTACTTTGGTCCCAGCTCTCTGCAGGTCATTCACCAGGTCCCCCCGTGTGGTTCTGAGATCTTTGCTCACCATTCTCATGATCATTTTGACCCCACGGGATGAGATCTTGCGTGGAGCCCCAGATCGAGGGAGATTATCAGTGGTCTTGTATGTCTTCCATTTTCTGATGATTGCTCCCACAGTTGATTTTTTCACACCAAGCTGCTTGCCTATTGTAGATTCACTCTTCCCAGTCTGGTGCAGGTCTACAATACTTTTCCTGGTGTCCTTCAAAAGCTCTTTGGTCTTGGCCATGGCGGAGTTTGGAGTCTGACTGTTTGAGGCTGTGGACAGGTGTCTTTTATACAGATGATGAGTTCAAACAGGTGCCATTCATACAGGTAACGAGTGGGGGACAGAAAAGCTTCTTACAGAAGATGTTACAGGTCTGTGAGAGCCAGAGATTTTCCTTGTTTGAGGTGACCAAATACTTATTTTCCACCCTAATTTACAAATAAATTCTTTACAAATCCTACCATGTGAATTCATGGATTTTTTTTTCACATTCTGTCTCTCACAGTTGAAGTGTACCTCTGGTGCAAATTACTGACCTCTGTCATCATTTTAGGTGGGGGAACTTGCACAATCGGTGGCTGACTAAATACTTTTTTGCCCCACTGTATTTTTTTTTATAGATATTGTGCGTGTGTGTTCGTTTCAGTGTATGTGTCTTTGTCACTTGAGAAGTCAAAATACGCCAGCTCCACCAGAGGCTGGTCACTACACCCCCAGGGCCCCAGGCTCCGGAGAACCACCCCCACGCCAAAGAAGCTACCCCCAATGAAGCAGATCAACAACCACGCCCGAACATCCAGCCACACGCCCTGGAACCAAAGGCAGGGCCACATCCTGGGGAACTGCAGCAATGTCCCAAAGGGACAGCGAGCTTCAAACACTGGGCTGTGCCCAGCCGTGCCCACACACACACACCCAGGCCATTCACTCACTCACACATACCCATCCATTCATGACACAAAGACATACACATGCTTCCTGCTCATAATCAGATCATACCATAGCAGGGAGCTTATTAAATTGGCTCCAATAATTAGGGTACCACACTTAACTTCACAGAATAAAATTGTGTAATTAAATATCGTGTTTGTGGGTTTTTCCCATATTACTAACATGCCAATTTGTTTGTTGTGATTTATTATCAGCCAGACTCATATTTGCTTTAAATGACAAATTTATTTAAGACGGAGTGATTTATCTAAGTCTGGGATGGTACGTGTTAACGGCCGCTCATAGATCCTACCTGCCGGATCTTCTTTTCATTGATATCGCTGTTATG